GACGGCATCCAAATCCTCGAGGGCGGGCCGGCCGAGGATGATGTTGTGTGCGCAGTCGAGGTTGACGACGACAAATTCCACTTCGAGCTTGGCTCTATGGGATCCGTCGCCGAATTCAACCATGAGGGTGATGACGCCCTCGGCGTCTATGCTGTCCCCCGTAAATCCGGAGAGGGGGGTGTTGATGTGTCGGAGGGACCCCCTGTCGAGTCCCAACTCTTGAAAAGTACTAAGATACATGACGTTGACCGAACTCCCCGTGTCGACGTAAGTCCGGTGGATGATGGCATCGTTGATCTCAGTGCGGATGACGAGGGCATCCCTATGCGGCAGAGAACCCGAGGGGAGGTCCGCATCTGTGAAGAAGATTGGATCCGCCCTCGGCCTTTTAGTCGGGGGCACGTGATTGACTTCCCCAATGTAAAGGGACTGTGCCCACTTCTTCCTTTGGCTCGTTGAATCGCCTCCGGTGTTGCCGCCGTTGATCATATGGATATGGCGCTTGTATTGTTGATGGGAGCCCTCTCCTTCGTCATCGAGGCCACCGATTTCACGTTTCTTCCCCTGTGGGTTCCCCAAGGGGATGGTGTTGGGGTTCACCCATTTGTTTGCCTTCGGCGGAGGCCCTTGATGATGAGGGGGGCCCTGGGGAGGAGGGCCCCTGATAAACTGAGATAAGTGGCCCGCCTGTATCAGCCTCTCAATTACGTTTTTCAGCTGATGGCAGTCGTCGGTTTTGTGTCCATGGTGGCGGTGGAAGCGGCAGTAGGACTCATCAGGACCGATGGCATAAATCTCGAGGGGTGTACGGGAGTCTCGCTCAACGAGCCCCCGCTCTTCTGCATGATCAAGGATGATGCTAACGGGATGCGTCAAGGGAGTGCGTGGGTGCTCAAGGAGGACGGGCTGCGCCCATGCCTTCGGGTTATTCTTGTAACCGCCCCCGGTTCTGGCTTGGCCACCCCGGGAGCGATCGTTGCACTGCGCCTCTCGGTTGACCGGAGGGGGAGGCCCTCCGGGCCGATTCCTGCCTTCATTTCTCTGAGAAGGATCCGTATTGCGGCGGTCCTTCTCGATTTCCTCCGCTTCAGCGTATCGGTCCCCCCGCTGAAGGGCCTTTGTATAATCGCGGGGGGGATCAGTGATAAGGCTCCGGGAGAAGTTACCGTTGCGGAGGACGGTGTGGAAGAGGGCCATTAGTGTCCTGTCATCAGCGCCTTCGACTTCGAGGGAGGCCTGCCTCCAGCGTTCCAGGAAACTCCGAAGGGTTTCCTCCTTCTGTTGTCTCACATTCAGAAGGTGGGAGAAGTGTTTCTTTGAGCGGTGCCTCCCGGCAAACTGCGTAAGGAAGCGGTGGGCAAGTTCTTGCCAAGAATCAATGCTGCCTTCGGGCAACCGGTTGAACCACTCATACGCTGGTCCCTCCAAGGTGGAAAGGAACCAACGGCATAAGTATTCATCCGAGGCCCCCATCATCATCATGCTATTTTGATAGCGGCTATAATGCTCTTGGGGATCCGTCTTCCCCTCATACGGCTTGATGGGTTGCCCCCGATATTTGTGGGGGATTTTGGCCGCCAACACCCTTGGGGTGAAGGGTGTTCTAGTGCGGAGTTGGATGAGGGGCTCGCCTGAGCCCTCGGCAAGTTTACGTTTCATTTCCTCCACCTGCGCCCGGAGGTCAGCGTACTCCGGATCCGGCCTAGCTGTGGAAGCCGTCGGGGGAGTCTGACGATTCTCCTCAAGTTGACGGAGGAGGGCTTCGATGATTTCGTCCTTAGGATCCTTCGGGGCAACCCCTTGGGAGTTGGCCCGGAAGGATTGCGCCTGATTGATTTGGTGCCTGGCGTCATCGGCGTGGAGGAGGGCTTTGCCTTTGCTCCGGGGGGGAGGCACGCCCTCGGCACCCGAAGCGGAGGCACCACTCTCCCGGGGCCTGCTGAGTTCTTGCTTGCCGAGGCGGTCTTGGACCCCTCGGCGTCCGGGAGCTCCCCCAAGCCTCTCAAGTGCGGAGGTCCGGGGTTTCTCCTTCATCATGGGGCGCTTGTCCCTGGATTGAGCCTCCTGGGAGGCGGTATCCTGCGCTATGACTCCCTCGCGATTGCCAATCCCCGGGGGAGGATTGTTGAACAGAGGGGGAAGTGGCGGCAATTGGATAACATTTCCTCCAGCGTAGGGCTGGAGGGGTGCCTGAGAGGCGAGGCCTCCGGAATTGAGAGCCATGTTTTGAACAAAGGCCGCAAAGGCAGCCTGAAGATCGATGGCCGAGGCCGGAGGAGGAACTTGGTTCTCACTCCGATCTCTCCTTCGATTATCAAGGCCAATGCGGGCATCGGGGGTGTTCTTCTGCAGCTGCTGACGTAGGTCAGCGGTGGCTTGCTCTAATTCGAGGATGATACCACCCTCAGGTACTAAGAGCCTGTTGGAGGCTTCAGCCCCGTTAGTTTCGTCGGGGGCTACGTAGTTTTCCTCAAGGGTCTTGGATTGGGCACGGGTGGTTCTTCCCATTTTTGGTGAGTGTTTTGTGTTTGGTAGAGGGGGAGGGTTTCTTACTTGATAGTTCAGACCTCTCAATGAAAGCACCAAATGATGGATAGTCTACCCGGGGGGTATCTTATCCGAGGGGTTATTGCGGGAATAACTTTGAGAGAAGTCAGAGTAAATAGGAGGAGAGAGAGTCGATTTTATTAAAATGAACTCAGCGTGCGTAGTTGAGATGTCGATGATATACAAGGAGAAATGGGCTGCTATTTATAGCAGCAATAAATGCGATGAGAGGACACGTGTCAGTAATCCAACGGCCGAAGGGTCACATCAGCCTAGTGGCACCGGCAGTGGTACGTCAACCGCATTGAATGCGGTTGGCGGATGTGACGTGGCATTAAATGCGGTGGTTGGCTGTCCCTAAAAGGAATCTTCGATGATTGAGCTAGTTTAACCGAGGGCTCCTTGTGTAGCCGAGAGCTCCTTGTGTAGCCGAAGGCTCCTTGTGTAGCCGAAGGCTCCTTGTGTAGCCGAGGGCATGAGAATGCTGAAGGCTCATGTCTTCGCCCGTTTTCTCCCAGCAGCTTCGTATGCCAGAGAAGGCTATCCTGCGAGTTTTGGAGCCTTCGGCCAAGGAGGCCGAAGGCACCCCAGTGTGTATTCTGGGCTACTTTGAGGCTTGGGCCGTTGTATTTGGGCCTGAGTTGTTTCCTGAGCTCAATGGATTTGTGTGGGAGAAATAGGAGTCTATGTGCCGGGGGTTCCTGGCCATATACTCCATCACAGGAATAGGGGGGGGGGGGGGAGGGGGGGGGCAAACCAAGACCCCTACAAAGAAGGCATACCTCCAGATATTATAACTACTATGGTGCCGTATCGGCGTATCGGAAACGTTCCCGTATCTGATATTCTAGGATACTCGTACCGTACGTTCCGAGGCCGTATCTACAATTTTTAAAAGTTTCCATTTTTTTGGTAATTATTATAAAATTTTGGATACTCGTATCCTGATGGGTACACGTATCACCTTTTAAAAATATCTTCAAAAAAAACTTTTTAAAAAAACACTCAAAAATTATATAATAAAATTCCTCAAAAATGAAAAGTTAAAAATAATTTTTACCTTTCATTGATGTGGTACACAACTAATGGGCGTATTCCTAATTCACTCATCCTCATATCCCTAATTCTAATTACCCCTGAAAATTAATAGCTCCAATGAAAATATGTAATACTACGTAGAACCTTTACGAAATTGTTTTATATCTTCATTATTTTGGAACTTTGAGCACTTGCACTTTTAATTTCAAAACTTTAGTTGTTTGACTTATTTCTCATTTTAAATTAATAACTTATTGACTATATTTCAATTTCGAGATGCACTGGTGTATATGAGAGAAAATATGAATTTATTTCCAAGTATCTTGAAAATGTATAAAATGCTTCAATGTCATGAATGGGTAGACGTCAGAGGATAGTATATGTGTATTTTTAATATTAATAAATACACCTCTATAACTTTTACTCCCTCCATCATATTAAAAGGTTCTCACTTTCCTTTTTTAGAGGTCCCATATAAAGATTCTCATTTCCATTTTAGGAAACAATTAAAAATCTTTAATAACAAATTAATTAATCATTAAATATTAAAAATAATACATTGATAACATCACAGTTGTCAATACTAACTACATTAAAATATATACCTATTAAAATTATTTCTCAAAATATACTCGAAGTACTTTATATAATTATTGTCTAAATAATCGTGTCGTTTTGTTATGAAAACCTTCCAACGGGACGGAGGTAGTAATATTTATAAATACACTCCCATAACTTGTACTCCGTAATATTTATAAATATGGCGCAGATCCTTATCTTACTTTTTTGTTGTTGTTGTAACCTTGTACCCGTTTCCGCGTATCCGCGTATCCGTATGTTACATAAGTTGTGCACCACCACGCTCCTCTTGTAAGAAGTTAGAGCATCTCCAATGGTAAAATGTGCACGGTGCACACGTGGCATGAGAAATAGCCACATAAATATTAGTAAATAAATTTTTATCTCCTTATTTGAATGATTTTATACAGTTTTGGTAAGTTTTTCTCCACATTGTCAAAGAGACCGTCTAGATGTTGACATTGTTGTTGACATTGCAGGAAAAAACTTACCAAAATTGTATAAAATCATTCAAATAAGAAGAGAAATAATTTATTTACTAATATTTCTGTGGCTATCATTCATGCCACATATGCAACGTAGACATTATAACATTGGAGATGCTCTTAAGAACATGTCCGGTGTCCACATGGGAAAGAGGGCGTTGGGTGAGAAGTTGCCGCCAGTAGCCACGGAGTTAAATTTGGAAGACATGGGAAAATCTACTCGTGTTTAGGTGTTAAAATCATCTAACTTCAATTTTATTTAAGTATATAACGTACTTTTAGTCCCTTTCTTAAAAAAAAAGTACTTTTAGTCCTATAGTGAACCATTTCTCTAAAGAATACTCCGTATTTTACTAAGGTAAGACGACTTGAACATGAGGAAGGAAGATCAGTTCGATCAATGCATTAGTGAGAATGAATTTTTAGAAAATAGAGTAAAAAGTCCTTACTTTGACATCCATGAAGGCGGTATGGATTCCCGGTATACCCGTCTTTGCATTTACATCGGTACCCACACCGGAATTCCGTCTCGACACACTCTGTGTTTAAGCCGCAAACATATCCATTGTCTTTATCAACACTTTTACAGGTCTGGTTCTGATTCCCGGCAGCCCAATTTATGACCAGAGGCGCCGAGTCAAACCTCAGATGGGCCAGATCCTCCGGGATGAAATCATACCACCCATTTTTCGCCACAAATGAATAGCTGCAGTTGTTGAACTTCCACACTTTTTTATCGAAAGGGAGGCTCCTGGCCTCAGCCCCGATGTCCCTCAGCCCGATCGCCGGGATATTCGTCTGGCAGCACCCGAACCCAGAGCAGTTCCCGACATCCTTCTTTTTCGGGGCTCTGTCACAAATCTGTACGCACCCAGTCGAGAATTTACTGCCCCCTTTCGAGCTTCTGAACAGTCCATAAGTGTTGCAGCCGACGGTGAAGAAAGTGTTGGCTTTGCTGGAAACGGTGAAGGCATTTGGGACATTAAGCCAGTCCGGTTTGACTGATAAATTCTTGCCGGATTCTGTGTAACAGAAGCTGGATACTGGCATAACAAAATCCATCTGCCCTTTCTCGTAATCAATGGCTGTGATTTGGGACTCCCTTTTCTGGGTTTGGGAATTGTGGGAGTGGGTCGTCGTCCATAACTTCGCAATTGAGTCTTGGCCGTCGCAGTTGAGATTGAAGTCTCTGTTCAAGGCACAGTTCTCCCCGATTCCGAACGGGTAGTCTATTGTTACATTTCCACACTTGCTCGGGCAGCCCCACCCGACTCCTCTAGATTCGGTTTGTGCCGCGCTCGCCGCCGTGGTAAATCCAGTCGCCAGGAGCAGCGCAGCTGCCGCTGCGGCGGCCAACTGCATTTGCATCGTCGTCTCCATTTCTTGTGAAGAATATACTCGTAATTATTTTGGTCTAATATAAAGACGTGGGAGGTTTCCTTTGCTGAGTAGCAATGGGGTTAGGTGGTCTCACAGGACCCGTCATCCAGTAAGGTCATTTTGGGATTTTATTGATAATTTTTTTAACACGTTACTCATAAGTGTAGTTTATGATACTATATATTTAATTTTAACTTAAAATTTAATTGGAAAGACAATTAAATAAATTATTTATAAACATTGTGCTTTAAATATATATGTAAACATTGTAGTGTTTTTCAATTCCACACTTGATTGACTTCGGATTGATTTTTAGCTGAAATTTAGTGGGCATAAACTACATGATGGATAGTGTACGCCGGGGTATCTTATACGAGTGGTTATTGCGGGAATAACTTAGAGAGAAGTCAGAGCAAGTAAGAGGAGAGAGAGTCGATTGTATTAAATGAACTCAGCGTGCTTTACAAGAAGAATAAGGGCTGCTATTTATAGCAGTCATAAGTGCGATTAGAGTACACGTGTCAACAATCTGACGGCTGAGGGGTCACCTCAATCAGATGGTACCGGCATATGCATGTGCACCGCATTAAATGCGGTGGGTGGATGTGATGTCGCATTAAATGCGGTGGTTGTCTGTCCCCAAAGGGAATCTTTGACGATCGCGCCTGTGGCCGTAGGCTCCCTTATGGCCGAAGGCTCTGTGTAGCCGAAGGCTACCCTCATGGCCGAAGGCTACCCTCATGGCCGAAGGCTACCCTCATGTCGAGGGCTCTCCTAAGGCCGAAGGGTCCCGATTTCTGTCGTTTTCTCGCCGTAGCTTTGTATGCTCAAATCCGGTTGTCATGTGAGATTTGGAGCCCTCGGCCAAGGAGGCCGAAGGCACCCATGTGTGCACCGTGGGTTTCTTTATGCTTGGACCGCTGTGTTCGGGCCGTGTGTGCTCATTGGGCTCATTGGGCCTGTGTAGGAGAAGTAGGAGTCTGTGGGCCGGGAGTCCCTGGGCCATATACTCCATCACTACACTTCATGAAAAACTTGCTCAAAAAATTTAATAAAAAAAATCCACCGGAAAAATCACCAAATGGTCTTGGAGAGTAGTTGCAACTGATTCTGCTTAAAAAAGCACTTTTGGAGATGTAAAGAAAAGGTGAAGGTGTTTGAGAAAAAAGTGATTTTGAAAAGTAAAAGTTGGTAGTGTTTGATAAAATAAGTGTTTTTTGTGTAATAGAAAACGGAAAATCACTTTTCACACGCAAGGCGAGAAAAAGTAAAAATTGATAGTGTTTGATAAAATAAATGTTTTTTAAGCCAAAAGTTAAAAAATGTTTTTTTTAAGTCGTTGCAAACACACCCTTCATCACATGATGAGTCCCGTTCGACGGGAGTGATACGAATTGCCCTTTTACTTTATTGATTTGGAAAAATTGTTGATACACACTTTTTATGCGCACTGTTATACACACGTACTTCGTATAGTACTACGTATTATACACACGTTAGAGACTGTTTGTTGTCTATTAATTGCATTTTCGTAGACAAAAAGAATATTCTGATCCACGTGTTTGTATAAGAGTACAACAAAATGTCAAAATGTATCAAGTCTACTTTAGAATTACGTAGTAAGTGCGCACTTATATTGCTTGAGTCTACTTCATAATTGTCTTCTCCGCTCTTAGTTACTCCGTAAATTATTGGTCCCCGTCATAATTTGTTTTGCCTTAAAGGTTGAGAACATTCCTGAAACCTTAAAAACATCAGAAGCACGTTTTGATATAATCTTTTTGTCGTTTCTGACTTTGTATATGTCAAAATATGCAAGATTATTTTTTAGATCAATTTGATGATGTGAATGACTTTTTTTGGATCATGAGAAGTTAAGATTATTTTATGAAATTATTTGATAAATTAATCTGGTATCAAATTGTAAAGCTGGATTATTTTGAGATTATTTCCAACTTCTAGACATATACTCATAATTATAATGATGACTAGTTTTCTAATTCGTGCATACTCATGTTCCCATCCAAGGTATTAAGATCACGAATGGGGAGAAATTTATTGAAGTATTATTTGAGATTATCTTATGTGGAGGTGACATGACAATAATAAGCCATGAAAAACCGTAAATTGAAGATCATCTATGTGCATGCTCTTAAATACGGAGTAATAAAAACAGTTATTTCAAAATAAAAAATAAATGACTCTTTTGGATTACACATTTATATATATTTATATATAAAGGGAAATCACATTTGATCCCTCAGTTACTAACCACGTTGGAATTTAGAACCTGTTTGATAACACAGAATTGAAATTGGTTGACTGAATCGCTGAATTTGTTTAAATTGATGAACTTCTAACCAAAACAGCTGAATTGTAAAAAATTTATACTTAAATATACTTATTGGTTAAGAAAATACATAAATTGGTGAAAAATAGTTTAAATAGTCTTATACGGTAACTTAACTTTAGTCAACTAACCCCGAAAGTAATTTTCAACTTACTATTATACAATTATGTACGTGTTTTGTGAAAATTCGACTAATTAGTTTTTGAATTTTCAATTTTGTAAATATCATTTTGAGTTATTCCAATTGTTTGTTGTAATATTATCCATGCCGTTAAAATTGAACTACCACTGTTAATATATTTATAACTTGGACACGATTAAAGTTATAACTTGGATATGATCAAACTTTTTTCTGTATTGCATTATCATTTGTAGAAGTGGATTTTCAAACCGATATCTATATAATATAATAAAGCAAACCCTTGATGAACTCTTTAGAGGAATTATTGACATGTGGCAATAGTCTTTGTATGAAAAAGTGACATGTGGCAAGACAATAAATTCAAGAAAAAACTATTCAACTTCCAAAACTCTACTTTTATGTATTCCAATATTATATACATATGTATTTAAATCATTGGTATACTGAAATTTTATAACTATTATATTGTAATACCTCCGTCCCACTAAGATTGGGACATGAGGTGATGACACGATTATTAAGAAAAATGAGTTTATGTGGTTGACGTTGAATTGCTGAAATAAAAATTAAGAAAGAATGATTTAATACCACACAAACTTTAGCTAATTTTGTACTTCATATGAGAAAGTGTTAGAGGGACGGATCGAAAGGAAAAGATAAGAGAATCTCAGCGGGACGGAAGGAGTATCTATAAAAAACACTCAGTGTAGAAATGACGCAATTTACATCTTTTGAGTAAACATTTGAATAATTATTATAATATAGAAACAATAGTTCAGCAAGGGTTGTAAAATAACAAGTATATTTCAAAATAATTTTGGTAGTAAACCATCAATATTGAAGACAAAAAAAGTAAAAAAAAAAATAGATGTTTATAATTTGTGTTACTCACCCGTGCGAATTGACCCACGAAACCGGTCACTTCATTGGATAAAAAATGACAACTCTTACCCACTTTGAAATGAGATGCAATAGACCAAGCTAGCCTGGAGACTTTGACTCCTTTCGACAGCTCTATCCACAGTTGAGTGAATTTTCTTTTAAATCGTGATTGATAAATTCACATACAATTTATTTCACTTACAATTTTTATAAAAACTTTAAGTGCATATTTTGCCGTGCAGTGCACGGGTACATGCATATACTAGTTTTTTATACATGCCTTAACATTACAATTTACAAACACATTTTATTTGTCGGAAGGATTTGAAAATGTATATAAAAACACAATATATTACTCTGTGTAGAACATTTTTATTTGTAATAGACATTTATTGTGCAAGTAAATGCCCAGGTGACTTCAGTGACCATAGTATTCCATGAGTCTGCTTAAAATTTCTTCCATTCACACTAGCTCTCCCTAGTTAAGTTATTGAATTCCGCGTCAAGATATCAAAAGTTTATTCAACTTGTCCGCTCGTTTAGTCATTCGTACCATGATAATATTTTAAACTAAAATTACATAAAGCAAATAGAGCAGGGCGCACTTGCACTTCCACTTGTCTCCCACACCATTCTCCTTCTCCATTCACACTACTAGGCCTGGTCAATGGGTCGGGTCTAGACCCGGACCCGTTCCGAATCCGCCACATTATTTGAGGTATGGGTCTAAATTTAGAACCGTTTCCCGGATCCGTATCCGAACCTGTTACATGATAAAGAAAATGGGTCGGATATGAATTTTTAAGTTCTGGCCCGTTTTGGACTCGACCCATGATGATATAATTATAGTTATAATTTTTTTACATATACACACACAATATACATAAAAATATTTAAACATAAAATAAGGAAAATAATCAAATATAAAAAATGTTTTAATATTTGTAGGCTTATTTAGTGGTTGGCCCACTATAATGAAGAAGATGCATGCTCAAAAAAATTCATCAAAAAATTCCATCGGGAACCGCCCCAATCGACGACGGCCGGCCATAATCTCTTATATAAGGGGCTAATTAAACACTTTAGGTCAGTTCAGGAGCCTATTTGACCCTTTAGCCTAAAATATATTTTAAAAGTAAATTTTTCTTAAATCCGCAGAATCAGCCATTGAAGTCACTTCAACTAGAACTTCATAAATTTCAGTAAACTCAGTCGAATCAACGAGTTTTCGTGTTACCAAAAGGGCTGTTACCTAAACTTTTTATGTGCGGAGTATGTCTTTGACCTAAGGATGGCAATGGGGGCGGGGGGGCCGTGGGGAACCGCCCCGTGGGGTGGAGTTGGGGCGGGTGGTGGGGCGGGGCCGGTGGTGGGTGGGGGAGATATTTTCTCCCCGCATAAATATGGGGCGGGTGATGGGTTATGCACCCCTGCACCGTCCCCGCCCCGTCCCCCGTAATAATTAATAATAATAATCTCAATAATAATACTAATAATAATAGTAATACTAATACGAAGTAATTAAAATAGCAAGGTGGCCCGGTGGGTTTAGTGGTTTCCTATCTAATGGATTGTGTCTAATGGGTCTATCTAATTCTTGTTTAATAACTAAGCTATCTTGTAAAATTGCTTATCAAAATCATAAAGTAAAATGATTTTTTTAGGGATAAAGTAAAATGAATTTGCGAAAGTTATAAAGTGATATTAGCTTAAACGCCCTAGGCACGGTGTGAAAGTTTTTTTGCTTTACTATATTACAATGCATTAATTCTTTTTTTTTATGTCATCTTTATGATTGTAATTAGGGCTCTTAAAATTTGGTGGTCATTAGGTCATAGGTCGTCCTAGATGCTCTCAAATGACCATGATTGATTGAATGCAGGGTTTAAGAAAATATTATAGAGTCAATCAATGTTAATTTAGAGTTTGATAAAAGTGGCTAAATTAGAACGTGTATAATGTGTTCTAGATTTGAAATGGGATGTAAGATTACATTGACACTTAAAAAGTGAAAAAAATTGGCTACTAGAAGTGTTGTTTAATTTTTGAAAAATTGTCAGAGTCTATAATGATGTTAATTTTTGACGAGTACTTCCCCCGTTGGGTACCCGTGGGTCTAGCGGGTCGAGGCGGGGGATGGGGTGGGTCGAATAGTAGTGGGGGATGGGGCGGGGGTGGGGGCGATTTTTTAGACACGGGGCGGGCAAGGGCGTAGACAGGGGGTGGCCATCCCTGGCCATGGCCTAGCCCAAATTTTAAAAATGTCTAAATTTTTAGGGTAAAAAATTCCGAGTAAATTTTTTTTCAAAAATATTCTTTGTACCGGCCCAGTCCAGCCCAGTGTCCTGGCTCCGCCCCTGGGGGCGGGGATGGGGGAGTGAACCCCGCCCCAACCCCGCCCCATTGCCATCCCTACTAGTTTGACCCAAAATAAACCGATCTGTACAAGAAATTGAAGGTGCGCGGGGATCAATAAATCAAAGAGGGGTACTGTGCATCCATGAAGAAGGACAATTTTGTTTTATACTCCCTCCGTAACTTTAAAATCTTCCCATTTCAAAAGTAGGTAGATTAAGAATAGTGAAAGATGATATGAATTATTGAGGGTATGATGGGAAAATAGTGGAATAATGTGGTGGAATGTAGGATAAATCCAAAAAAAGTAGTTGTAATAGTGTATTATTTTAAGAATTATTGAGGGTATGATGAGAAGATTTAGAAATGAGAAGATTTTTGTGTTACGGACGAAAAAGGAAAGTGAGAAGATTTTTAAGTTACGGAGGGAGTACATCGGAAAGGAATGAAGGACAATGATGTAGAAGACAACGTACAATCTGAATAAGTGTAAATGTCTGTAAGGCAGATTAATTCGATCATCACAATAAAAACAGAGATTCGCAGTGCATGTGAGTGGAGGACAGTCACACATGTGAGTTTTACATATCCCTCATACTCCGTAATTAATTGGATCCAATTTGTTTTCTACACCAAGTTGAAATTGTTAAAATTCTTTTGAAAGCAACTGAGTTGGTCCAATTTGTTTTTTCTCACTCCAAGCAGGAGTTTGGGAGTGATCAAGGCTGAAGCTTAGTCTTGGGTGTGTTTCAAAAAATAAAGAAAATTAATTAAAATAAATTAATTAAAATGACGAAAGAAAACAGAAATAAGATGGAGCAGAAATTAGTCAAAGCTTGTGCTACGCACGATGTCCTTAAAACGTATTTATTACCCCTCTGGGTCAAAAGAGTGTACTCCCTCACTTGGCGTTTACCTCAAAGTCGGAGTAGTATTGGGCAAAGAATTCTTGCCGAAAATCCTCCCAAGTAAGAGTCTCACCATACTTGCCCTTGGTTCCATCCCACCATTTGGATGCCAAACCTTCAAGTAACCTCACCGCGATTCTCAGTTTAAAATCGGGGGTGAGTTGCATGTCAAGAGCCGCCTCGTTCAGCCTCTTGATCCACTGCGCGGCAACCGAGATGTCTCCCGTTCCATCGAACGGTTTGCACCCCAAATCCCTCGCCTCTTTAATGTATTTGGAGATCCTTATGGTTGGACCTCCATCGCCACGGCTCCCATGCGCTTCTACATGGGTTCTCGAGTCACAAACACTCCTACCCCTTGGAGCCCCGCCCGAAGGTTGCCCCGCACGGCGCCTTCGACGTTCCCTTTTTTCCTCGCGCTCCCGGTGGTATTGTTGGAGCAGCGCTTCAATCCTGGCCAAGGAGCCACTTTCCTCCTCGTCACTCACATCATCATCATCCCCTTCATAAGGGGTCTCAACCGGCTCCGTTTCCGGCCGGTAGGTTGAATCTTCATAAGACCAATAGGTCTCACTTTCTGTCTCGACGTGGCCATCGCTCACGGTTTGGTGTTGGCCTCCCCGGCCCCTTCCTCTTGATCCCCTAGAGGACCCCCGGCTACCGCGCTCGGATCCACCCGGTACACGGCCCGTCGGGTTCCTCCTAGTGATCCTTCCGATTGGCTCCATTTCTGAAAGGAAATAGAATGAGTCATTAGACTCGTATCAATGTCAAGTGACGGATAGGTACTTAAAGACATCCTTTGGCTCAAATCACCGCCATACCAATTGTTAAGGGTACCATCTTAACAATTAGAGACTTTGCAACTCAAGTACCAAAAGTTCTATAAGTACAAAACTTTTATGCTCATGGTTTTCAAATTCATTTTCGAAAAGAGATTTTGAAGCTTCATTACGAAGTTTACGGACTAAGGCTCTGATACCAATTAAATTGTCACGCCCCGGACCTATCCGGACATGTCAACAATTCGCCGTACAGTACGAATAGTCAACCACTGTCCGACACATCCATACTATACAAGGCGTCTGGGATATCATTCACACGTAGTACATCCATAAACAAACATAATGTAAAACATTCATTCAAGCAGCGGAAACATTTGATATAAGTATTCATGCCACACTTGGCAAACATGGCATACAAGCCCCCAAATAATTATTCAAAAATATAATATCCATGAGCGTCAATTTAAATGTTTTTAAAACAGGAACGGAGGAAGCACGAACCACGTCTTCTCTCCTTGATCTTCCCGAAACAAGCGGGTGATGGCAGCAACCTTCAAGTTCTACCTGAAACTGTGAGGTGGCCTCCCCCGTGAAGGGGAGGTCAGTACTTGGAAGCATTTGACAAGTACAATGACAACTATACTAAGTATAATCAAAGTTTCAATTTCCAAGACCCTCAATCTAGGGTGTTATTGTATCAAGGTTAACTTTATTCGTTTAGTGTAAATTCATCATTTCTTACCACGGTCTAGAGCCCAGCTCAATAATCACCGTTACCTACTACGGTCTAGAGCCCAGCTCAATAATCACCGTCATCTACATCGGTCTAGAGCCCAGCTCAATAATCACCGATAACTACTACGGTCTAGAGCCCAGCTCAATAATCACCGTTATCTACATCGGTCTAGAGCCCAGCTCAATAATCACCGATAACTACTACGGTCTAAAGCCCAGCTCAATAATCACCGTTATCTACATCGGTCTAGAGCCCAGCTCAATAATCACCGATTCTTTACAATTCAATTTCTTAGGATCCATTCATCCATTATTCAACTACAAATCCAACTAATATTTCAATACTAGTTATTTACTCATTTCAATGTAATTCTTCATTAAATATGAAATTTGGCTTCAATATCAAAATATCACTTTTATTCCTTCATGGCTTCTTTTCATGAAATAAAAGTATACTTATCACAAATGGGATTTTTTTGGTTGATACTACTATCATGTCATCATATTCATAACATTTAGACATACACAATTTATTCAATAAATTTGTATATTATGCAACCTATACTTTTAATCAATAGTAATTTCATTTAGGCATTATTAACCATTAATAATCCATGCAAATCACATTGTATATTCATTTAGGGAATCTCATGAAATTAACCCAAAGATTATAAGCAATATAGTCGGTCATCCTCACCTTAAGTGAGCTTAAGCGCGTTCTATGCTCCCCGATTGAACTTTGACTAATTCCGGCAAACTTTGACCAACTCCGGTGAACTTTGACCAACTCCGGCGAAACTCCGGCGAAGCTCAAAAATGCTTTAATCAAGTTCCTAAAAGGGTTTTAACATCATAAAACCTTAATCAATACAAATAACCTCTAAAAGGTTATTTTCCGGTGAACTTGTCGGTTTGGCTTCTAAGTCCGTTCTTGGACTTAGAACCATTCTCCAACCCATTATTCTACACTTAAATTATGTAGAACAACCCTCAAGGTTCTTCCTATGATGATAGAAGAAAAATAAAGGAAAAGTTAATATAAGGTCATTACCTTAATCGTTCTCACTTTTCCTAGCTTTTTCTCCCTTTAATCTTCCCCCTTGGACCTCTATTGTTTGAGCTCTCTTCAAGGATGGGAAAAGGAGGATGGAGGTTTTTCTTTTCTTGCTGGGGTTGGTGCTGGCCGAGAGAAGGAGTGAGGGAGAGATGGGGTGAGGCTCCTTTTTGGCATTTTTGCCAAATGAGTGAGAATGGGGCCCTTGGGATGTCAAGGTTGTCTCTCCCATCTCCTCAAGGTTTTCAGCCCTTGTTTGACATAGATCAGCCCCCCCTTTGCTGCCAAATTCGTGGGTTGGCCCCCACCCATGTGGGAGGTCAACCCTTTTTGTCCAGAAGTGTACAATCGGCCCCGAAAGTTGTATTTTTCGGACTGTTTTAGTTATATTTTATTTTATCGGGTCAAATAAAATATATTAAGTGTTTCCAAATCATTATGACCCTTATAATGAATATACATCCCCCAACTTTACTTTATAAGTTCCCGAAATTCATTTCGGGTTTTTATCTGTTAAATTACCAATACCGGTATTCTGGCCTTTTGATCAACCGGTCAACTCTATATCATTTCTTTGGACCAAATAAATTATCCACCACTATATAAATATTATCTAGACCAAGATGAATAACTTATGTGGTCCCGGGAATATAGGGTGGTCCCCGCTCCCGGCGTGGGCCCCACGTGCGAATTTACTATTCACGCAAAATAATTAATAAAAACTCATAACATCGTAAATTCGTCAACTATTCCATAAGGTTAAAATACAATATTCACTTAAAAGTAAATATATTTGGGGACGGTGTTACAGTATGAACACTCAGGAAATTTTTGGAATGCTGGAGGTGTTTTAGAGCTCAGAAATACGTGAGGAATGTATATGAACGTGTAAGAACGTGTGTCGTTCCAAACCACCTGCCAGCCATTATATAGGAGAATTTGTTGTGTGCAAATGGTGAATTGATGAACCTGAACGTTGGACATCAATGACCAGTCCGATGGGCATTGAATCATCCATGAACTGTCCATTTAATGCTGCATTAAAAATTAAAAGATAAGAACGTTGGGCATTAATTGTTGTAACGGTTTAGATGCGCGACAGAAGACCTCCCAACAGAACACTCTATGAGGGGTTCTGTTCTGAGGCCAACAGAAGACCCCATGAGGGGTTCTGTCACAAGGCCAACAGAAGACATTTGTGTCCGCAGGTCGTCCGCGCACGCAAGTCGCGGTTTTTCTTCTCCGATTTCGGGATTTGATTTGCACCCCCCTGCGCGCGTGGAGAGAGCCTTTACCCTAAGGAATCTTAACTCCTTAAGGGGGAGTCCCTTTATAAAGGGTTGCAAATCCCTTGGGTTTTCCGGTGTAGGAAATAACACACTAGAAACCCATCATTTTTCCTAGTTTTCCCATTCTAACGGGTAACTTCGAGAATCAATTTCTCATTCAACCGTTATCCGTTTTAAGCGTACCACATATCGAATTGTAGCCCTTAACAAGAACAATCCGAAACCACTTTGACCCGAACCAAATCGGAAGTGGACCCCACTCAAAAAATTGCCCCAGATGACCATTTAATGCAATTTTCACACATTTTTCCAACACTTAATTCACTGAGTTTCGAACTCGAGGCCTTCCGTAAAGGAGAGTGAGTCACCCACCAGCTGAGCTGAACTAATTCTCCCAATTTGTTGTATTATTGAAAATTTATACTATCTTCAATCCATCCCAAACAATTTTGCTATTTTTAAGACTTTGATCAAGAGAGAATTCCCTAAATAGCAGTAAAAATGTTTTGAAATTCCAAAATAGGAGTATCATGTTTTTATTCCCTAAATAGGAGTAAATTTCTGCCAAGTTTGGAAATTACAAGGCTTTAAACATGGCATTTTTTTTCAAAATTGGCAGATTACTCCTATTCAGGGAATAAAAAACATGATACTCCTATTTTGGAATTTCAAAACGTTTTTACTCCTATTTAGGGTAATTTCTGTTTGATCAACCATATACGATAGTATTATTATTGGAAGTTATTTATAATATAAAAGTATATGAAGAATGTTATTTGTTGAAAGTACTTTCTTAAAAGTATAAAATTTATGAATTCCGTAATATTATATTAATCAAAATCATGATCCAAATTTTATGAAATGACAAGTTTATTGGGATGGAGGTGGTATTTAAAATATATTTCATTAGTAAAATTAACAAATATTAAATGGAAATAGTTAAGATAGACCTCTAGACAAACTTCATCCCTGATCACCTCTTGACCTTCATATCATAATTACAAGTGCATTCACTTTATACTATGTATGTATTACTTTTTGACTTTATAATAACATTCACATATAAAATATATTATTACTTATAACACTAACTTATTTTAATATTGCGCTGAACCCTTCCACCCTTCCACATTAATGAGTGCATTATATTTTCATTACTACACACCATTTTAAATTATTAGTGTCATTTCATGAACAAGTGTATTCACATACCCTAAACGTGGACGAATCGAGCTTATGAGTGTGCATATTTCCAAATCATTTCAAATGCCCATACATTCACTCTTACATTCATACTATGCACTTATACTGTAACACCCTACCCAAACCGGCTCGCCGATCTGAGCGGTGTGTCACGTGGCAGAAATCAAAACAGATTTGACCAAAAGAGTGTTAATTATTTAAACAAAATTAAGTATTAAATAAAACATATTTATTACAACGTCAATTTATTATTTAATACCTGAAAATATTAAGTCTCCATAAATTACTTAATATTATACAACACAAAATTTTTTGATACGCGGAAGCGTTTACAAAACGAAAATGATCAGATAAGTTTAAAGTCAAACTTGTTTCTTATTTCTTTATTTATAAACAATACACACATGGTATGCACATGAATCCAAACACACTCATAGATTTTTGGTATTTGTATTTTAATACTCCCTCCGTCACGTAAAATAGTTCTCGGTTTCCTTTTTGGATTATCCCAAAAAATAGTTCTCATTTCTCCTTTTTGGAAAGTTTTTTGTGGTTACCAATGGCGGACCCACTAAGGGTCCCATGGGGTCCCGGGACCCCGTGGACTTCGAAAAATTTACCTATATATGTTACATATATTTTACAAAAATTTATGTGTATATATAAATAACATGTATGCGATTAAGAAAGCAAACATATGCCGCGGAGTAGTGGTAGTGTGCGTATGCTTAAAGCTACCTCTGTATGTGAGGTATTGGGTTTGACTCCCCCTCCCGTCAGTTTTTCTTCCTTGAACCTTATATTTTTTTAAACTCATTTTCTTTGGGTCCATTCTTTAAGATTTTCTTTGAATGTTAAGATTAAATAAATAAATTTATGTATTTATGATTTTTCTTAAAATTTGACGATGAAGGATGAAAATATATTTCAGTATTGTATCCAAATTTAAAGAAATTCGGAGTACCGAGATTAGTTAAGATATTAATTCAAATGTTCGTCTTTAGTAAATAAAGAATCGGATATAATACTTGCTGAAAGTGAAACTAATTTGGCAGTTTGGCCTATAATCTACATGAACAACATAATGATTTCATCCTAATGTTCAAGAGAGTGTACGCCGTAGTTATTGTCAAAAAAAGGTCATTTCAACTTCGGGATCATGATTTCCCTATTAAAGTAATTGACGGCAAAAAAACGTAGATTTGTTTCAAATTGGTTTGATGACCATAAATGGTTGGAATACAGTATTGCCAAAGATGCTGCATTTTGTTTAGCGTGTTATTTGTTTAGGAATGAGTGGAAAGTAAGTGGTAATCATTTTTTTGGAATAAGATTTTTAGCATGAATAAAAAAGATAGGTTTTACATCGCAAAAAAAAAGGATAGATTTTATGTACATGTTGATGGACCTATATATTATAGAATACTTCCAACAAATGAAACCTAGGAGGTACTTTTGTAAACTTGAGAATGACTTTTATATGTAATTTTTTGTTTTATATCATCTTAATGTTTTGCCGATGTACGTTAACCATGAAACATTATGCTTATTAATTTTTTTTAATTTTATATTAATGAGAGTTCCATTAGTTTAGGGACCCCGTGACTCTGATTTTCTGGGTCCGCCACTGGTGGTTACCATTCATTTACCTTTTTTACTCAACCACAACCATACATTTCCACTTTATTCACACTTTCTTAAACTACGATTCAAGTCAATGCGGGAACTATTTTATGGGACGGAGCCACGGAGGGAGTAATAATTACAATACACACATGGAATGCACTTATTATTATTTTTCACTTATGTAAATAGTACTTCTTTAAAATATACAGGCTTAAATGTTATTATAATGTTAAACCGTAACATTATAGTCACATATTTATATGTGTAGCACCTAGGAAAAATTAGCTACTTTTAGCTAAATTAGCTGATGCATGAGAACATAAACATTACACGTATCATTAGACTACACATGTATGCATACACCTATTTAGCTAAGTCGGTCACTTTTACTTCTATATTCACTAAATAAATGTGTAAGTTATAAATATATTTTTATACTTCAGTACACAGATCTTATCTAGCTGAAGTGCGTATATGTAGCGAAACCCACAATAAATTTATACAGATCAGGAAATAAGTTTTCGTTTATTTAAAAATAATGATATCTAAAAATTGTATAAAAATACTATTACTAATTAGGGACTTTTGATGACTTTAATAATAACAATATTACATACATAATACATGAATGGATATCTAAAACTAATTTAGCCTATATTTCGTTCATCAATTAATTAAATACTAAGCTAGCTAATAAATGATAATAATATGTAAAGCACCTGGAATGTGTGTAAGCAATTAATTAATTACATGCATTATTCATATTATATAATATGTAAGTAGTTGATTAATTCAGTAGTTACTACCTGAAGTTATTTTTATCATTACACCTACGTTATATATACTATTCATTTGGCATACATGTAGTTATCATCAGTGGCGTATTTAGCATGGGGCAGGGGTCAGCTGCCCCACTCAACCCCCACCCAACCCCCATATATATATTTAAAAAATTAGTTATACATATATTTGTATTGCCGAAAATACATACTACCTTTGTCCTCCTAAGTTTGGGATAAAGAGGTGTGGTGTGATTTTAAAGAAAAAGTAGAATTGCGTAGTTGGTATTGAATTGATAAAGTGTGAATAAAGTAAGAATAAATTTTAATCACTCAAACATTACCTAATATGGTTTGGGACAAATTTAATGGGACGGACGAAAAGAGTAAAACGAGACAAAGTTGAAAGGAGAGAACATGCTGTCTAACTCATTCATTAGGTTAGGCCCGTTAGGCTACCCGCAATGCAAGGGGTGAAAAACTTATATGTGAAGTTTTGACTCCAAAAATGGTACAACCCAAACAAAAAAAAGTAGAGTGGGGAGCCATTGTGGATTGGGAGAACCTATTGGGAGGGGAATATAGACGGTGGATTGCCCCAAGAGAGAGGAAGGAAGGAAGCCGCAAGGTTAGGAAAATGTGAGGGTCCACATTAAATTAAAATCCCAATTTTGTTAAAAATGGTGTAACTTTTTTATTTGAAATTCAATTTTTATAAAAAATATATCAAAATTCATAATTTTTTATGACCTTTCACATGACATCAATATGTCATATATAAAGTGTTATAAAAAATATGAAGTTTTATCTGATGGAGAAATTTTCAGGCCTAATTTTTTTCTTAAGCATATATATTTTCTAAAATTAATGATATATCAATATTATTAATCAATTAATTTATATTCACCTAGTAATAGTATATGAAATGATAAATTAATAATTTAGCAATAATATATTCAATAGTTTTGAATTTATTTCAAATTAAACTCAAGTAGGCATTTTTTATGCTTACAAAAAATTAATTCCCATTTTTTTATTTTTTACATCGGAATGTTTGACTTTTTAAATAATAATTATTGGTGAAAATAAAATTATCACATTAGTGATGTGTAATAGAAAAAAGTAAGGATTTATATATGCATTTACTTAAAAAAAATGTGCTGAGTGGATATATTGACGGTGCTGGGTTGCAGAGAAAAACTGAATTGACTGAGTGAATACGTATAAAGTGGTGTGAGATTAGATTTATTGACGGGCTGGGTTGCGGTTAGCCTTAGGGGTTGGAAACCTCATGCGTCTCTTTTGTTTGTTCCCCATTTTAAATTTCTAACCATTATCTTCCTTTTATCCTTTTTTAAACTTTTAATCAAATTTGAAGTAACTTAATGTATATTTACACATTTTAAGAGTTAAACTGTACTTTTAAGAGTATTATTTTAGATTAAAACTATACTTCATTACATTTACATTTTACACTTAATATAAATTTATTTTTAGATATAATTTTGCATTTGCAATTTACACCAATTTGAAATACACTAGGGGTGGGATTTTGGAACCAGGAACCATAGAACCGATTGGAACCGAACCGTTGACAACATCTAGGAACCAAACCGTTAACAATTAATGCCTCATTTGTAGGAACCGAACCGAAGCGGGTTATAACGGTTCGGTTCCCGGATCCTATAAAAAAATATGTGCATGGAACCGTTAAGGAACCATTATTAAAAAATAAAAAATAAAATAACATTAGTAGTAGTAGTAGTAACAATAATAATAATAATAATATAATAGTAATAATAACCACCGCCACAACAACTTTAATAATAAAACAATATAAGATATTTAACTAACAATTCTAATTTAATCAACGGAAAAGAAGTAATAAATATTGTACATGAGGTTGATATAATACATTAAACTCCTTTCTACAAATCAAGTTTTGTTCCATCACATAAATGTTATTAATATAAAATAACCCAAATAACTTGTAGTTGATTGTACATATTTTACTTTACTATTTTCATGATATTTCTAATTATTAGATTTATTATGAATCAATAGAATGTAATAATGTTTTTTATATCTATACATGAAAACTTTATGTCTTTTTTTATGTTTTGAAAGACTTGAAATAGGCGTCCTATTCTTGCTACTATGATGACGAGTAACCTTCATCGCTCCGACACTACAACGATTTTTAATGTTTCATTTATTACATGAAAATTTAAATCACTTTTGTTCTTTTAAGTGTTCAAAGTAAATTAGTTAAGTTTGAGCTTTGATGTTTGAATTGATTAGGCTTCAAATAAAATTTTAATAATACCCGTGTTTTAAATTTTTGACGTGTTTAAAACTATGTGTTAATTCTTAGACGAGAAAAAATTATTTTAGGAACCGGTAAAAGGAAGAACCGAACTGTTTACTACCGGTTCGGTTCCATATATAACGGTTCTTGATTTTTTATATGGGAACCGAACCGATTTCATTAGTTAAAACTTTTATAACGGTTCCACTTATTTTGAGTAACAACCGAACCGGTCCTAGCCCTAAAATACACACACCACATGTCCGTAGCTTATTTAAAACTAGTTATTTATTAACGTAATATCAAAATATTAAAACTTTTGTGTCACATTTATTTTTTGAAATTTGTTAAGTATGATTTCACGTTTTTTTTACGAGTGATAGTTTTATTTAGGTTTAAACACTACAAAAAAAATTACGGGATTGGCACGGAATTTGGCATGGACTTACCGATTTTTCGTGCCAAATAGCTCGTGCCAAAGTGTTTTTGGCACGGATTTGGCATATCCTTGCCAAAATCCCTGCCAAATCCATGCCAAAATCACTGTCAATCCCGTGTTTTTTTTGTAGTGAAATATGTGTTTAGTCCCTGCAAATATAGTACATTTTGTTTTACATCCCTGCAAAATTATTTTTTTGTTTTTCGTCCCTGCAATTACGTTGGATTTCTTTTTAGTCCATCATTGGTGATAACAATCTCCGTTTGACCTCAAAATAACCCCGATTAATACATTTACTTTAATTCTTTGTCATGTTATTTAAAAAGTATTTTACTTTATTTTTTAGAAAGTTTTTAATAATATTTTCAAAATATGAATACTTAGTTTTAAATTATTTTAACTCTCATATTAGACTCAAAAAAAGAAATAAAAGGACAAATCTACATATTTTTACTATATTTATATAACCTACAATAATTTTTGTTGTAAGTAGAGTAGTTTCGGAATTGGAGATGGACTAAAAGCAAAATAGTGCATATTGCAGGGATGAAAAACAAGGAAAATATTTTGCAAGGACCTAAAACAAAATGTGTCATATTTGCAGGGATGAAAAACAAGGAAAATATTTTGCAAGGACCTAAAACAAAATGTGTCATAAAGTTGAAATGTATGATTTTGATTGAATAAGAAAAATGTAATTGAATGTAAGTCACACAAAACTTTTCAAAGAGGGAAATGAGAAGAAATTTTTGAACATCCCAAAAAAACAAGTGAGAAGAATTTTATGGGACTGAGAAAGTAGTATGAATTCGCCCCCACTCACTACAAATCATGGATACGCCACTGCTTATCATAATATGACAGTTCATATTCTGGAGATATCTTTAAGTCATAACTTCTTATAACTTCCAGTAGAGTTACACCTTTTTATTTTTAATCTATACAGTAATTAAATACATATAAATTTAAATACACATATTGAGAGCATGTATAATGTTTCTAAACTTATACAACGTCATCATCCCTATAACATTTCAGGAACAGGTACGGAATAATACTAACAAAATATGTACTTAAAGTAAAAGTGGGGATAGGAAACGTACGGACCTTATAGACAAATTCTTCTAAAATTTTATGGATATGAAAAATCTCCTGCTACTATTCTTCTTCTTGGAACAATATCTCTTTTTGATGGTTTTCCTTACTTGGTGTTCGAATGGTGTGAAAGAAAAGAGATGAGCTATGCTCCTATTTAAAGTCAAATAAGTTTCATGGGTACATGTTAGGAGTTTCAAGAGAGCAATTGATTGGAATTGTCTTATTCTCTATCTCAATAATACGTATGTTCTACTATTCATTTGTTTGGGTGTCCACTAATTTAGCATGTCAAATTTGTCTCCCTTGAGTTTACTATTCAATTTAACTATTCCCTCAAAATGATGAAGTTCCTAATTTGTTTTAGGTGTAAAATATCTAGTTGACATTTATTTGGCTGCCCATCCCTAATCAAGTCAAAATATTTTATTATCATGTTTTATTTTAGAGCTGTCCGTATTTGTCTCATCATATTAGTTCAAATCTTTATCTAGTTTTTGGGACACCTTTTCTTATTTCCAATTTTGATTTAAATGGCTAAGAAGTTTATGTCAAATAGCATCACATGAAAAGTACTAAACGATCATCATTTTTTTATAGTTTAGTTTAGATCTATTATTTTATAAGGAAAATGGAAACTAATAATCCAACCTTTCAGCGGTCTTCTTTTAATAGTCCCACCTTTTCGTTATTCATGAATAATCCAATCTTTGCACCTCATCTTCATTCACTGGTTCCTGATCGGTTGATGACCTGTTATTCCAAGTGATTTTCTTATCTTTGCAAAATATTATCTTTGTGAAAGGTGGAATTTATGGTATAATAGTTTGCAGAGATAAGAAAATAACTCGGAATAGCATGTCATCAACCGGTCGGGGACCAATGAATGAAGATGAGGTGCAAAGTTTGGATTATTCATGAATAACGAAAAGGTCGGATTATTAAAAGAAGACCGCTAAAAGGTTGGATTATTAATTTCCATTTTTCCTATTTTATATTAGTTTAGTATTTTCTTTTTCTTTTAATAAAACTATTTACCTTATAATTTTACAAAGATGTTTAATTTTGATAGGGAAATAATATCTAAAAATTTATTCATGTGTATCTTAACTACTAGACCAGATTTTGGGGCGTCCCATATACTCCCTTTACAAGTTTAACACCAAAATGCATTATTACCATGACATAATACTACTTCATATTTACCAACCTACTCAACTCCGGAAATTTAACACCAAAATGCATTATTAAACTACGGTTGACACTTGACATTAATCTTTTTGAAAACATTTTGCTTTCACATCCAAATAAAAACGCCATGGCATGCACACATATCACCTACACTGGTTTTTGCCCTTACATTTTGAAATTGACCTATTTAACTTCTAATAAGTAAAAACACATACACATTCACACTTAGGTGTCGTTTGGTAACACCTTTTTTCGGCTTATCAGGCTTATCAGCCAATTTTTTCACTACACACTTAATTTTTGATTTCGCGTGCTGAATTGTGTAATAAGCAGAAAAAGTAAGGTTGAAGTTACTTTTCTGGCAGTATTGGCTGAAGTTACTGTAGAGGATCATTTTAGCTATTTTTACATATAATTTTCTTTATTTTATTAATAAAATATATTTTTAAAATAAATTTTTTTAAAACAGCAGAATCAGTCAATACAGCTACTTCAGCCAGAACTTCATAAATTTCAGCAGAATCAGCCAAAGCAATCGATTTTTGTGTTACAGCTACTTCAGCCAAAACTTCATAAATTTCAGCAGAATCAGCCAAAGTAGCCGATTTTTGTGGTACCAAACGGGCTCTTAATCATTTCCACTAATTCCACATTTTATGATTTCAGACATTCCGCATACAACTTTTTTACTCCGCGTACTCCACCTTTTCCTTTGTCGATCTCCACTGCATTTCAGTTTGTCAACCACTAATATAATAATCAAATCACATTACTACCACTTTTTAAATCTATTTCACCACTTCTATTGCACAATCCACATACTGCATCATCTAAACTCTCACTTTTCGGATCCTCTTCTCCACTGCTAATTCTACTACAAGTTCGTGTGTTTATTATCCAAATTAGTATCTTGTAATCTTTTAATTACCTTTTGTCTTCTACGTTTCCACTTTTTCTAACCCTCACCTTTTATTACTGCCAAATAACACCCCAACACTCATCAAAATCACAAACATAATACCATACCCTGTTTCTGTGCTTCGATTTCAGGCATGGAACTACATTATATACATTTTTATTTTTACTTAATATCCAAACGTTGCTGCACATTTTACGATTTATTCACCACAAATAGGAAAGCTAACGATGTTCAACATTGGTCAGTTCTTCTCTGTGCACTATCCTCTTCAGTGCCGATGAGTAATGAAAGTTATGAAACCACTCCGCTCTTATCTATGTTAGCCGGTTAACATTAATTGGAGAGTGGTAGACGGGATTATCGGTGTATTATAGATTACAGCACCGTAATCGAATTGATTTAAGGTAGATTCTATGTACCCATAAGGTACCATATCTTTGTCTACATGGACCAATGAGAATGTAGCAGTTGAATTATTTAAATCTAAATTAAAAATGATAAAGTGATGTGGTTCAATCAAATGAATGATAGGTACGGTACCCCATATTTTAGAAAGGTACTCAAGTTGTCACCTTGATTTAAAACTGGAAAGAGTGTTGAAAGACTGATTAACCCTCCGTAGTGCGCCTATGTAGAAGTGTTTATTCAATGAATATTCCATGCCTCTCGTACGATTGCCTCTTATCTACGCTCGAGATTAATTCCCAGTTTTCATGTTAGAAAGTGTTTTTACGTGATCTATACCCTATATATATATATATATATATATATATATATATATATATACATACATACATACATACATACATACATACATACATACATACATACATACATACATACATACATACATACATACATACATACATACATACATACATACATACATACATACATACATACATACATACATACATACATACATACATACATACATACATACATACATACATACATACATACATACATACATACATACATACATACAGGGTATATATACATATATATATAGGGTATAGGGGAAAGATCAAGTACAAAGTGTATATATATAGGGGAAAGATCAAGTATATGTGTGTATATATATATACATACATACATACATACATACATACATACATACATACATACATACATACATACATACATACATACATACATACATACATACATACATACATACATACATACATACAGGGTATATATACATATATATATAGGGTATAGGGGAAAGATCAAGTATATGTGTGTGTGTGTGTATATATATATATATATATATATATATATATATATATATATATATATATATATATAGGGAGCAGATTAGGTGTGAAGTGCTCTTAGGCTGAGAACTGCGAAGTTAAACTTATAGACTAAATATAGGAACTTGTAACCAATAAATCATAACTTATAGACCTCTCGAAAATAATTACAAAAATGTCACCGCAAAAAAATAATTACAGAAACCTGGAAAAAAAAATTAACGCGGTGGCATTTTCGTAATTATTATGGAGAGCTTTATAAGTTATGATTTATTCGTTATAAGTTCCTATATTTAGTCTATAAGTTTACTGCGTTGTAAGATCATATTATATCCAAGGGCTAAGATTACTTCTCACTTTTCATTTTAAGGGACACTTCTCACATGATCTTTTCCCTATACACACACACACACACACACACACACACATATATATATATATATATTAGAGATCAAATACAAACCATGCTTAATTTACAAAGTACAAACTTATCTTGGTCATCCGATGAGTTAATCTAAATGATATAAAAGGCAAGGTGGCATTTATGCAATAAAACCTAATATAACTTTTCTAGGGTGCAACTCGTTGAACGTTAATGTGCAACTGCTATTTTATGACTATTGTTGAGGTTTTGTCCCGTAGATCCGAAATCCCAACATAAACTTTGGATATTAGGGACGATCAATTCGGTATAAAAGTAAAACAAATATATGAACGTGTATCAACTAGCTATTTTTACGTGGAAACCAGGAAAGAGAGAAAACCACGGGACTTTTTGGGCTAACGTCCAAGCCCGCTCTTTCTCATTGATATTCTCTCCTCACCATTTACATAGTACAACGCATGGAGCTTCCACTAATGGACCTTGAGATACTAATCTACAAAAGAGGAGGAAGAAGCCTTCTCCCAGAGAGGAGAAGCCAAAGGTCTGATCCTTTAATGAGGAGGCTTGGCCTCCTATTTATAGAAGGGAGGGGTGTTGAGGTTAATTCTAATGGGCCTAAATGGGCCGGTTGGGTCGGGTAGGCCTAATTGGGCCTTGCTGACTGGGCTCCTTATCGGGGCGATGCCTCGGGACTCAAGACAATAGTAGGCTGGGGGAATATATCCCATCAACTATATAATATGCAACACTTTGAACCTCAATATGCAATGCAAATAATGTCAAGGTGCATCGTACAAAAATTTGCACAATAAGCACAGTTTGCACAGTTTGAACCCCTATATATATAGTCCTTTTCCTATCAGGTCTGGCCGGATAGGAGGGCGGTCTAGACACCTCATTTTGGGGTGGTTTCCGAGGGTATTTTTTCTCACATTTTTTAGCATGTTCCTTATGAATTGTAGATGATCTCCATCAAATTGGAGCAAATGCACGTTGAGGTCTTAAAATTTGTAGAAAATGCATAGTGCAAGTAATTATTATTAGTCATATATTATTAAATAAACTCCATGTACGTCTTCTACTATTCAAGCTAATTTCAACACATCATTTAATTTCCTATTCCCATAAATATTGCCGCACTACCTACAATATTCATCAAGGAAGTGCGAAGAGAAAATTGTTGCACACCGCGTCTTTGATTATGCGGGATGAAGCTATGCTGATACACGAGGCATGTTCTAAGATTTTAGATGTTACACCAAGAAACATCGTGAGTAACTAACTATTTGCTATCGTTGATCGATGGCCTAGGAGTTACATATCTTAGTTCAATTAATATTATTCCTTCATACACCGTTATTACATTCCATCACTAGTAGAAAAATGGCTTACAGTGACACTTTTACAGTGACACTTTCCGATAAAATGCAACTTCTAACATAAAAGTGTCGCTATTTTGTAACAAAAATAGAGTAACATGGAAGTAGTGACACTCGACATTTTTTACGGAGTATATTTGTGAACGCGCGTCCTTATTCATTACTTATGGGCCGGCCCTCAGAGTTTATTATACGGAGTAAGACACTTGCTCTTTTTTCCTCTTTCGTTTCCGCTTTCCTTTTGTGAACCTAGGTCTCCAACTCCTCGATCGATCGTCGGCTTTTCTAGGTCATGCTCGTGACTACATCTGGTCTACAATATACTTTCTTTAACATATTGAGCGAGGCTTCTGTAACCCCCTTGTAAAGTCTTGGCTAATTGTAACGGCGAGGGGCGATAGGTCACCTAGGGTTAGCAACCGGAATTACAGGCCTACGCCGCACGATGAATCACTTGGTAACATTGTTTTGTTGTTTTTTATTCTTAATCTTGCTATTTTTTAGTCGGAATCTACTACCAATCTTATTTTCGACCTTCGATTTGAGATTGGAAGGATGTTTTATGGCAAAAAAACCCAAGAACCGAGGCTTTTCAATCGCGTTTGTACTGTTCCATGTAGATTTTGATTTGGACTCGATTCTAAGAAATTGTTGACTGTTTCTGGTTTTTGAGAGCTTTTTGGGACTCGCCGTATCAGGACGAAGCTTTATGTCTCCTTCGTCAAAGGTGGTGGTGGAATGAGGCTGGAGTTCTGTTGTCGGTTTGGGCGCTTACTGTTCACCTACGACGATGGGTTCCAGCTCCTTTGTTCACAGAAATCTTGAACTCGGCAATACTGGTCTGGGACTCGCTAAGTCCAGACGACACAATGGGTTTATCCCCAATCTGACTTTGGGAATGAGAGCTGATACCTGCGATTAAAACGGCGTGGAAGTAACTTTGCTTTGAAACCCAGGTTTGATTTCTGGTTGCTGTTGCGTATCCACAAAGTTTCTGTCTTTTCAAATTCTAATGTAAATACCTAGTATTTTATTTGCTTGAATTAACCTTGAATGTGAAAATGCCCTTCTTTTACATTAGTTTGTACTCTGTAGTCATCTTAGAACAGATGCATGAGAAAGAAATTGCTGGTAAAAGATAATCAACGTTTTTCCATCTGTTCCAAGGTCCTCTTGTCCATCTGTTACCTGTTGACTAATCCAAACCCGGATGATCCGCTTGTGCTAGAAATTGCTCACATGTACAAGAATACGAGACCACGGCTCGGAGCTGGACTCAGAAGTATGCTATGGGGTGATGATGAATGACAAAAATGTTTGCTCCCCAAATTCCTTTAACTTAAGTGTGCGCTTTTTAATTGTGGCCTATCTTTGCCATCTTCGTTTGCTTTTGATATAATTATAATAAGTTGTACCTTTGAATCTTTGATTTCAGGCGGAAGTCATAATGGCTCTTTGTAATTTGTGAATACTAATTTAGACATATATTTATGCTATGGAAAACTACTACGGAGTACTATGGTTTGTAATATGGTTTGTAATCTTGGGTTTATTAATGATTTAATTCCCTGATTTGACAAAAAAAAAAAAAGATAATCAACGTTTTTCCTTATGATGGTAGATTGAGGTGGTGAAAAAAGGTACTGGAAGTGTGGAACCTGATCGTCCCGAATCAAGACCACTAGACCCTATACAGAAGGATTAACCAGTAACCAGGGCCGGTCCCCTGATTTTTTCTCTCATTTGACAGCATTAGTTATGCATGCCTTATGTTCCAACACCTAATGTATGTGGAATCGTTTAGGTGGCAGGCAGCAGGCGAGGATGAAATGGCAAGCTGGCTTCTCGGTGTTGTTTAAGACCTCAAATTATCTCCACCTCCCCCAATCGCCACCATACAATTGGGAACTGGAAAAAATCTCCATTTCACATTTGGATGGGTATTGTATACACATTTTCTTTCATATTTTCGCTTATGCTTTTAAGGGAACAAGTTTTATTAATGTCTAATCCATCCAAGCAAAATTTTGGATTTTGTTCTTTCTCTTTATGTCGACGGGTGTGATGTTCTATGCTCTTAGCAATTTTCAAGGGAAGAAAACCCAAGAACAGTTCGTCAGTCTATGCTCTTCTTCTTAATTCAAGTAAAGGATGCCAAAGAAATGAACATACACAGGTTTTGTGTTCAAGTACTCTCTTTTGTTCAATTTCTTAAACAATACTCACAGTGAACAGGTTCATACATGAGAAGTGGTCTGGAGGGAGTGTATTATATTATTTGGCCTATACTTGACCTTAAAACTTCTCAGCTATTTAGGAACTGGAAACTTTGTAATCCTAACTTTTTATTTCTGATCTTGAAATTATAAAAATATTTTATCGCACTACGCTTGTACATATGCCTTCATTTTACATTCGATATTTTGACTCATTCCAAAGATGCTTAAATATTTGGAATTTGATGTAGCTGGCATATTCTCATGAGGAAGAGAGCACCAAGGCAAGGAAGGCTCTACGATCTGATTGCACCTCATGAAGTTTAATGTTTTTTGCAGGATGAAGCCGAAACGTTGATGAAAAAGGTGAAACTGCTTAATATTGAAAAGATATCATTGACTCACAAGTCCGAGCAAATCAACTTGTTGATGATGGCACAAGATAAAAAGATGGCATTGTGTGAAACATATGGCTCCTTTTTAATTGCAAATGCTGATGTTGAGAGGACTCAGTCTTATGTCACTAGCAAGCAGCATGTTGGTTATGGCATGGTTCGAGATTTCCTGTCTGAATACAAGGCTACACGAGAGAAGGCAAGGGAAGAGGAAAGATTAGCAAAAGAGAAGGAAGCACAAGAAAGAAGAAAACAAAAGGAGAAAAAATATGACAGGATGTTTTGTCCATCAGAGTATTTCTGGTTTTGCATATGCCTAGAATGCAAACTTTAACAACAATGTAGCTTTGACATTGAAATGAATGTTCTACTTTAAACGTTCAATCTATGTTTTGAGATTTACACTACCGTTTATGGATTTAGTGAATTTGAATCGGAATTTCTGTAATATAATTTAAATAGAATTTCTAAATTATAATTGATTTGGATTGCTGAAACTGTACAAAACAAGTGATACCAAAGTGTCACTAAAATATTTAATGAAAAACAGAATTATGTGATATCGTGGTGTCATTAGAATTTGTGATGTAATAGTGTCATCGCACGGTTATGTCACCTATGTATCACTATTTGGTAATACTATAATGTCACAATTTAGTGACACTTTTAGTGACACTTAAATAGTGTCACTATTTCCCACTTTCATTGACACTTTTTTAGTGTCACAGAAACTTTCAGTGACACTAATTTGGTGTCACTGTAAAGCATTTTTCTAGTAGTGCATGTTGATATGTACAATGTCGAATATCTTAATTGCGCTTCACCAAGACGGTGAATGTCATTTATAAAGAGGTTTCCCCATTTAAACCTAACAATGCGATGATTGGTTACAATGTAATGTGCGGTGTTACATTACAATGTCACTTTTTAATATAGTATATTCTGTTTAGTTAAATTACTATTTACAATCAACAAAAAATTATTTAAAGTAAAGGAATTAATTATTTTTATATTCTATAATATGTATTTTATAAAGTAATCAAACATTTACAACTTTCGCCCGGGGCAACGCCCCGGGTAAAACAATAGTTTTATTCAAAATTGGCAACACTTCTCTAGTCTAGAATTTAAGCAACACCCTTGTCAATATTTATATTAATTATTCTGTAACAACTTTTTTATAATTCTAAACTACACGCATAGATGTAAAACAACATACTTGTAATATGAAATTCTATATAATATAATACTACAAGTATTACAATATCTTAAATACTTATCAAAGAATGTACCGTAAACTAAAAGTAAAACATACTCAGTTTGAATGCATCTCAAAGAATCTATCATAAACTAAAAAGTAACGTGTAATGCCCTAAAATCCGGTCTAGTAGTTAAAATACATAAGAATAAATTGCCAGCTTATATAATTTATAAAGTAAGTAATTTTATTAAAAAGAGCATTAATAATAAATTAATGTTAAGTAGTTCTAAACTAAACGGCAGAAGCTATTAATCATTTAATCCTTTAAACATTTTTTTGTAAATCCCATTGGTTTGATTTTTCTAGATGGATTACATTAAATTAGAAAAATAATAGATCTAAAATAAACTGTAAACTGTAATTCTTTTCATAAATTTCTAAGCCATTTCAATCAAATTGGAAATAAGCACACGTGTCCCAATTAATAGATAAACTTTTGTATTAATATGATAAGGCCATGTGAACAACTCTATAGAAAATGTAATAATAAAATATCTTAAATTGATTAGGAATGGGCGGCCAAATAAATGTGTACTCATACAAGATATTTTGCATGTAAAACAAGTTAGGAGCTTCATCATTTTGAAGGAATAGTTAAATTGAATAGTAAACTCAAGGAGACAAATTGAGATGCTAAATTAATGGACATCCAAACAAATGAATAGTAGGACATAGTATTATTGATAGAAGAGTATTATTGAGATAGAGAATAAGACAACTAATTGCTCTTGAAACTCCTAGCCTCTACGCATGAACTTATATATTTGACTTTAAATAAGAGTATAGCTCCTCTCTTTTCTTTCACACAATTCGGACACCAAGTAAGGAAACCCATCAAAAGAGATATAGTTGCAAGAAGAAGAACACTAGCGGCAGGTTTTCAAATCAATAATATTTTAGAAAAATTTGTCTATAAGCTCAGTATGTTTTCGCCCCGTTTTGTTTAATGAGTATTTTATAATATCTTTATTTCAGTATAATTTCCATCCCCGTTTCTGTTATTTTATGAGGATGATGGACATTGAATAATCATATATGTAAATGTTTTAAATGCTCTAAATGATGTTTATTTCAATTTATATGAACTGGTAGTCATTCACTTCTTACCGATTAAAAAGTGCAAAATTGAAACTAAAAGTATGCGTAGTGGAAAATAAAACTGCAAATTTAATAGCATTTTCCAAAATATAATTTGACATGCTTATTTTTATATAGACTGATAAACCTGAGAAGTACAGCGTAAAGAACAGATCAACACACACAGACATATGTACTACGTATTACAAAGAAATAGTGCTAGTATAAACTTTAAACACTAACTTAATTAGTTACCTACTTAAATTATTACGTAACATTAGTATGCATATATGGACTTATACGTAGTACGTTATCTAATAATGTGTAATACACGGCCCTATTATTTATAGTGTTTAATTACTTGAGTCAGGATAAGAGTGGACTACATGTTAAAATAGATAGGTATAATTTTGCATATTTGCAAACAATTGATGATATCATTAGTTAATTAGTGATAGTGTTTTATTAGGATTTAAACCCATTTTAAATAAAATAGTATTCATCCGCTTATCTACTGCTAAAACTTGATACAAATCAGCCAAATTTAAGATTTGATTTAAGTATTAAATAGAGGATAAATAATCTGTTATATACTTACATTGTGCATGCGTAGATACACCAGCTTAATTAATAGATTATATGGGTATTCATATAAGTAATATTTAATATTTGTAATTGATGAGAAAATAGATATTCATAAACATAGGTTACATTAGTACTATATACATGTATGCACGTATGTATGAATTAAAAGTAGACCAGAATGTACATTTGAAATTATTTGTTGAAATGAACAGGACATTATATTTCAGATTATTATTACTTGAAATTATGGTTCAAGGAATTTGTGACACATAGTTAATTTAGGTTACGTATGAATTAAGTATGTATTTTCTAATTACTAGTTACGGGCGGTATATGTTTAAAAAGTCACTTGTTAAATGCTTATAGGTAAAAATCATTTATATCCTCGGATATTATTCCTAACTAATGAACAATATGTATTACTCCGTATTATAAAGCCTTACTCTTGATCCGGCACTCTAACGCGAATACTCCTGATTTGTGTTTTTAGTGTACTACATACACTCCTGAATTCTGTCTTAGAGGAATTAGTGTTCTCCTTTTTAGTGTACTATGTACACTCCTGAAATCTTTTTAGAACACTATTTCTCTTCGGTTAAGGTTCGAGTCTCTTCGGTGATCTCGTCGTTTCTGTTCAGCTAGCTTCTGTAAGAGATTGGTACGTGTAGCCCCGGCGATTACGTTTCCACATCCTTTATGGGTAATGTGGGTACAGACTTCGTGAATGTATTCCTTACCGTTAGTATTCCGCTGTCTAGGTCTAGTTTCTTGAGTTTAAGGCTAAAGGAATATGTTTTTATTAATGATCAGTTTCAGAATAAGTATTATCTGATAATTATGATATCTGGATATATTTCTGTTCGGTACACACACTCAAAAATATTCCCAGAATAATATTTGAATATGCTTCTGATCTGTATATGAATATTTTGATTCTCATAACAGTTATTCGGCTCACTCAGGTATGTCATATGTTTGTTTGACTAGATGCTAATTATGTTATGTTGATATTTGATTTAATATGTGATTATTATTATTATCATTATTGTTATGATTATTGTTATTATTTGTACCGTACCACTCAGCACATTGTTGAGCGGGTAGTTGTTTGTTTTTCCTACCCGTAGGTTGAAGTAGATTCAGCTAAGATAAGGATGCTGGGATGGAAGGTGACATAGGATTCATGTGCATATCATGTGTGTATTGTTTATAAATAAACAAATAAGAAGCAAGTTTGACAATAAACTTATCTGATCATTTCCGTTTCGTAAACGCTTCCGCATATCTTAAAAATACTTTGTGTTGTACAATATTAAGTGATTTATGGCGACTTGATATTTTAGGTATCGAATGATAAGTTGACGTTTGAATAAAGATGATTTATTTAAATACTAAATTTTGTTTTAAATAATTAAAAGTCTTTTGGTTAAATTTGTTTGCATTCCTATCACGTGATACATCACTCGGGTCGGCGGCGCCGATTCGGGTAGGGTGTTACATAACGTGCTCGATTTGAAATAAAAAAAAAATCAAAATATCACAAAATACTTGTAATAGCAACTAAAAATCTTCACGTCAGAGTGCTCATAATTGTATCCACATCATTTGATGTCAATACGAATGTTCAGCCTCTTTTGCCTTACCAATGTCTTCTTTACCATTTTTCTTTTCACATTTGTCTGTATTATGTGTCTCATAATCCTGCATTTCAACCTACAATATAAAATAATACACCATATAAATAGGGCATTGTGGCGGCAATTATACATCAAAGAGTTTTATAAGCCCTACGACTTACATCACATTCTTGTTACTACACATTTTTTCCTAATTAATATGCAGTAGTAATTAATAAACTAAAATAAAGCATTCATCTCCACTTACTTAACAGAATAATAGAGGATGGACGGCCAAAACGAAATAGGGCTAAAATTGGGAACCAATGAAAGTGAAGAAATAAAAAACCTTGTTCAAGAAAAATAAGAGGGCCTAAAATGCCATAGAAATTATTTAAAGCTCTATTTTGAGATAGAATTAACTCTTCAATTCATATTTTTACGTTTTCCATATCTGAATTCATGTTTTTTTAATTCTAAGAGGCATTATAAAATGTAAAAGAATACGATAATAATGATATAACCAAATTAAAAAAAGTGGGAATAGAAACATCTTATCGAACAAGTTCTTGTGTCTCAAACTTGTGGTCTGTATCTGCCCCTGCACTCTACGCGACTTGCGCCTCTACTTGTGATATGCCGCTCGATGCACACTGACTGCAGGTCTGGGGTGGCTGCATAGGGAAAATTTTCAAACTAAAAAAAAATTTCAAAATAAGACTACCATGTTTTTTATTCCCAAAATAGGAGTAATTACTGCCAAAACATGACAATAATTAGTTCTATTTTTGGAATAAAAACATGACAATCCTATTTAAACCTTTTTAGTCCTATTTCGAGTAATATCTCTTTAAAAATCACAAGTCAAATTCTAACTTTAATAATATGAAGTTTTGAAGTTTGAACAAATTGAACAACTCACAAGGAAGATTGATGAAATAAGAACTAG